ATAGCATAGCAAAATAGAGCACTCTTTTCTCTATTAGACTATATAGAAAGAAAGTTTTTTTTAAGCTTACTATATGGCTATGTAACGTCGTGATCAGAACTTTTGGTACACCCTAAGTAACTCGTCTGTAAAAATAAATATATTTTTAATTCAAGTTTTTATTATTATTTTTACTGAACTTTTTCATCATCAATTGAATTATAATGTTTATTATAAATACGTTTGAATCATGTCCAGGATTCATCGACTGATGACAACTTTGAACTAGTAAAATAAATGATAATAAAAAACACCAATACTGTATATAAATAGAGAATATATTTCAGTTTTTCTTAAATTCCATATTGAATATACGTGTGTTTTTATTCATTTTATAATAGAATTTTACTTTGTCACATATAATCATATTGGATTTGATAAGGATAAAACTTCTTTGATATTCTTTATGAAAAATATCAGTTAAAAAAAGAATAAATTGTTCATTTATTTTTTTCTTTTTATCTTTTTTATTGATTTTATGTCAGTTGAGTTTTGACTGATGTTTTTGATCTCTACTGTTAATGAAAGAAAATAAATTGAACTTATGATTCTCAATTGTAAATAATTCATTTTCATTTTTAATAAAATATAAATAGAAAGAGTTTTTAAAAAAATATTTGTCACATCACGAAATTGGTTATAACGGATGGAACAAATAAAATGAGCCACATTCGTTCTCTGATTTTATCTTCTTGAACTTTTTCCTAAAAATCTCAAATAATATTCAATAGATGGAGAATTTTCAGTTCTACAAAATGGTATCACTTTTTTTCATGAAGTAACCCCCCCCCCCCCGTCAAAATAAAAAAGCATGGCCTTCTATTATGTCCCAGTGAATCGGTCTTTTTGAGATGGCGTTATATTATGTCCAGAGAATCAAACGGTCCGGGGTGGCCTTCTATTCCGGGTGCCTTTCTATTATAGGATGGCGTTCAACTTTGAGGGGGGGGGGGGTATCGATCTTTTGAAATAAAAAAGATGTTCAAAATCTTATATCACACCTTCATACCGAAAAATATTCCAATCGGCATTTTCCGATAATCTTACGTAATGAAGTTTTATGTTCAATTAATAATCGATGGTTACAAATGTTCAACAAGACTAGTTTTATTGTTGGGTGTGGATGTGGATGTAAATGAAATGATTAGCCACACCCTACCTCAATTGATTCGTTGCCTTCGGGTTTATCTTTTATCTATAGATAGATCGCAGTAAGACTTGATCATATCTCAGCAACAAACCACCATAGACAATAATCGAACACTTCTAGACTTTTCTTAGCTTCGTCAATATTTACCTATAATTAACAAATCAATAAAACTTCAGTTCATTTCCCAGTGAGTCTAATTCCAATTGGATTAAGTTAAATTCATTTTAATTAGAGATATTATCTGTTTCCTGATTGAGATGATCAAGAAAGTATAGAAACAAAGAAAAGCATTTTACAATTCGAATTAGTCTCTTAGTATACATATCGTGCATAAATTAATAATAAGTCGATATTATTTTAAAAAAATAATTCATATCACCCCGGAGGGGTTTTGAAGGGTAGGTGTTCGGTGAATAAAATTTTATTCACCGAACACCTACCCTTCAAAACCCCTCCGGGGTGATATGTTCCATCTTATATTACCGTAGATGTATAAAATACAGATGCCGTTAGTTGTTAACTATAGAAATAGATTCAACTCTGTTTTTCTTTGTATTTTGACAAAGAGGTTAAAAACTGAGTACCTTGTTTTTCCGAAAGTTTAAAGAAATTCAAAATAACAACTTTACTCAAGAATGCCGATCAGTCTATCTGATTCGATAGAAAGCAAACCTATCAATTCGAAGTATATAAATGAGAAAGAAAGTCATTAGAATATGATTCATCGTTCTTTTCTCTATACGCAAATACTATCACACTCATCAACAGTATTTCTTTTTTTTTTTACTTCATCGATAAATGAGAGAACTGTGATGGTTTCAATAAAAATCATCGATAAAGATGGGAAGAAAACAACATAAAAACTGACCTTTAAGCACACAATCACTTTTTGACTGTCGATACATCACAAATTCCCGAACAACTTCATGTTGTGAAACGTTCTTTCAACGTATGTGCTTGATTGTATCCAAAGAGTCTTCTGTGTTTATGCTAGTTGAGTAAAAATGAGTCATGTAGCAAATTTGACTGTTAATCGAGTGTTAATAATTAATAATACTTCATCAGCGATTCAATGTGTACGCGTATTCGTTTAGAAAAGAATCATTATTTACTCAATTTTTTCATTTTACCTAAGATATCTAACTGAAAATCTCATATCTGAATCATTGAATGTTGATGCTCTTCCATTTTTTTTCGACCTTAGCAATAGACGTATCCTGAAAAGAAGTCTTCGAAAATTAGCTTAACTAGAAATTCCAATCAAATTCGATCTGCTACTCGATAGTCTATCGAAATCCATGCAAATTTACACAAATAATATTAATTCCATGAAATAATATTAAATGGTTCACTGATCGCTTGTATTCAGCAGGAAACTCACGATCAATTGAATCATTCTAGATCGGAACTGTCTTCAATATAAGTTCATATTTGTGTAGATTGCTGTTAACACCAACTTCTCAATTAGTTTCTTTATTGGCATGAGTAAAATCGAAACTCATCGATCTCTTTCAATGAGGTCTGTCCCATATAGTTTTCGTCAATTTAGTCGACGACCTCTCAATTTCTGAATTTTGGAATAGTTTTGTCCAATATCAGTATATATATATATATCCATCTTCGTTTTTCTGAATAGAAGCATTAAAGCTTGCGATGGAATAGTATGTAAGATACTTCTGTTGAAAGAGAAAGATGATTCAAAGAAAGAGTTAAGCATTAACTATGGGTAAGGAACAGATATGAAATTGTAAGATTAGGTAAGTGATAAGTTTTTTTTCATGACAGTTCGCCCGATTAAAAATAGTGAATGCCATTATCTTCATGAAGAATGCTCAGAATCATATTGCTCAATGCTTTGTGACTAGGCCACAACAGGTTTTAAAATTGATTTTTCTAAATTTTTGATGACTTGCTGAGACTATCTATCGTTGAATGTCCTTTTGAGTCAGGAAGGGTGTAAAAGTAAGCAGGATCTCAGGAGTTTACAGAAACTCGATTTATATTCTTACAATGGCATTATCTGACATGGTTAGAGTAAATTTATAAGCAAGAATGATCATCAAATGCAAATCCTTCTCGTTTGTGGAAACACAATCATTTACTAATACTCATTGTAATGCATGTGATCGTTGATATTTTTTATAAATGATTCAGAAAAGCTTGATTTTTTCAATCTATAACTATCTAAGTATGAATTTACATTTGTTTTGAAATGTGAAAAACAATATGTAGTGATAACCTGCCTGATTGATGATGTGATCTAACTGATTTTAAATAGTGTAAATGATGTCTTGCGACGACAAAATAAAAACAGACATATATTTTGACGGAAGCGATACAAACTCAAATCTTTTTAGAGTATTTACTAGGATATTATATCATTTCTAAAATCAGAAACTCGTTAAAAACGATGGGTGGTACCTAAAAAGATTCCTTCGTTCTTAAAAAGTAACATGCTAATGCAAATGATTCATAAGAGCATTCATTCGAATTTAAAATCGACTTTTAATCAGGGATTATACTATGAAATAGGTAAGCCATCAATCTCTCCGTATAAAAAAATTCAAAGACAATTTTGTCTCAAATGAGCCGTTTTTTTTGGCATTGCCCTTGATTCTTTAATATGTGTAGGCGAAGAAGTTTGCGACAGACATGATGAGAATTTTCCTACGGTAATCATATTTAGTCTTCCTCATCAATATGAAAAGTAGCAAAATTTAATTGATTCATGTTCTTTTTAATAATGATAAATATGATAACCATTAGGAGTTCAGATAAAAATGGCAAAGCATATTTTAATGTAAACGCTGGTGATGATAGCTTTCAAATATTGATAACTAATGACAGCGAAGAAAAATTCATATTCTTCTAGAATGTTTTGATAGATGGAAGTAATAAAAAAGTTGCTCTAATGAATGTAATATATTATAATTTATAATATACTTACATTGTTTTTCCATTTCTATAAGGATAAGAATTTTCATAATACGTATCATTTTTATTCTAATAAAGATTTATACCATATAATTATTTTTGTTGTAGATTTTAAATCTATTTCTTCTTATCCAATAAATACAACGTATTCATAAGATACAAGTGAAATTAAGATAAACTTCATTGTTCTAATTTGTTTATAGTTGTTATAGTTAAAATATCGTCTATCCATCATGTCGAACACAACAAAGACTGAGTCAAACGAATATCAGGTAAATACGATAATATCAAATGAATTTGTAAATTATATCAATAAGTCATAGAGTTCATAAGGAGAGTAACAGAGTTGTTCATAGATGTTTTTATTTTAATGACATAATTTTACTTTCTACAAAAAAATTTTATATCCTTGTATTGGAAAATGAGTCAAATTTCATATATTAAAAGTTTCTGTCATAGCACTTTTATCTTTCTTAATCTAATGTATATTTTTAGGAGAATAGTGCTTGTATTATGTGCTTGGGATCATTTGGTATTATCGATGAGACAATACCTCGTCAGTGTACTAATGAAAAATGTCGTCAAAAATTTTGTTCGAAATGCGTGAGCCATATTCGAATTTACAATGGCAATAATCGACCTTTTCAATGTATGTACTGTTTAAAAGAATATCCAATTGATTGTTATCCAGAAGAAATTAACATATTAAAACAACAAATATGGAACGATAAACTCATTAAATATGGTATTGAACGTACAAAACATTTGCTCACAACAAATTGTGATCTAAAAGAATTACATTTTGATATTGATTGTCGACGACGACAATTGTTGAGTTTATTTTCAACACATAAACGTATTTGTAAGGAGACACATGCAAATCAGACAGACGTAGAAATCGAAAATATGATTAATCAACTTTCAAATATCATTCTGCATTTAAAGTCTCATGCTAGCAACAGTTTAGAACTGTATAAAATGCTTTATGGACAAGCTATATCTATGCCCGATTCTGATGATATTGGTTCTCTTTACATTCGTCTTTGTGAACAATTATCCGTCGATATTACCAACGATGAATTTTCTAATATTTTTCCAAATACACATGAAAAAATGAACGATTGGATGTATGAACATGCTGTCGGTGAAGAATTTCAACCGAAACTTTTTCATGTTATCAATGCAATCGAACAAGACTTAGTCTCTCAATGGTCAAATCCATGTGTTACACCTTCAACTACTATTGGAGTCATTGGCTATACAAATGTTGGTAAAAGTTCTTTACTCAATCGTCTTCTTGGTATGAAATCTCTAAATGATGATCAAGCAGCTCCAATAGGTAATATGAAAACGACTTACTTTGCATTACCATTCAACCGTAAAGAACCATTGATATATCATTCAATAAATGGAACCATAGAAATACCAGTTACACTAGTCGATATTCAAGGACATGATAAAAACAGAACAGCAAATAACAATATGATTGAAGTCGGCAATTATCATAATGAAATTAAAAAGGCCAATTGCGATATTTATATCTTAGTCACTGATGATGATCCTCATGATGAACAAAAAGATTGGATGACTTTTATTCAAGACACATTAAAACGAAAATGTATCTTGGTTAGATCCAAAGTAGATATTCTTTATTTAAATAAAATGCGGGAATTGTCCGGCAATTTCTACAGCAAGAGTACTCCAGAAGAACGTCTTCAATATCATACAGCGATCATGGATCAAATACGAAGTCAGAACACGATTCCAGAAAACAAAACTTATTTAATATCAGCTGATTATCAACCGAGTAGCATTGATGCTGATCTTCTATTAACCGAACACTCGTTCGATTTTGACTTATTACTGAATGATTTGAGCGTCTTAGCTTTCAATGCTCGAACTTCTCGAATCGATCTACTGGCTAAGCAAGCAGTCAACAGAGTGATAAATACATGTTTTTGTCGAGGATATATCCTAAACATAATGAAGTATAAAATTGCCGCTGGATTTGCAGCGATTATACCTTTCGGTGATCAATTACCTCGATATTTATCAAGAGATAAAATTAGAGAAGCATTCGGTATAAATGAGGATTTTGGTCAATATCTCATTCAATTTAATCTTACTATTGACGATGGTCTCTTACAAACATCAGTCTTTCGAAAATATGTCAAAACACACGAAACAAAAAAAGAATTAAAGCTTGATGCAAAAGCAATTGGAACAGCTGCTGGATATACAACGGCAGTTGTCGGCACATTTGGTGATGATATCGTTCGCATAGCTGCCCCCACTGCAACAGCATTTTCTACTGCTGGACGTATCGCATTAACTGCAGCAACAATTGGTATAGGTGTACTTATTTCTGCAGGAGTGTGCGCATGGTCAGCGATTAGCAGTGGAAAACATATATTTAGTTATGTTAATCGTGTTTCTCACGATTGCATTCTAATACTGGATAAAATAAACAAGGTGATTATCGAACGTGAAAGAAATAAAGCAACATGCAATATATATCAAAGAACTCCGAAGAGTGATTCATATTTTGACATGCATGATGATAAACCGTGTACACATACTTAAGACATTCTATGTGTGTTGTAGAGACAAAAAATAATAAACTTGAGCCCATAATTCAAATTGATTTCTATGTTGATATCAGAATTATGCTTAACGATCTGAGTTATACCCATGTAACCATTTTTAGTCCTTGGACACTTCTGTCAGTTATGCGACTTGCCATGTTTAAACGGGTGTACAGCATGGTTGTGAGTGTAGTTGAGTGGGTATGAATGTAAATCTTTTATCTGCCAGATAACCAACGCCCACATTATAATATTTATATTTATTAAATAAACTGAAATAATCGAAGAAAATATAAATTAAATGTCGAATCGATCGAAAAAGTTTTTGTATCAAAAGGGTGTGGGTGTGGGTGTGGGGTGTGGGTGTGGGTGTGGGTGTGGGGTGTGGGTGTGGGTGTGGGGTCGGGTGTGGGGTTGGGTGGGTGGACGTGGGATCGGGGGGTGGGCGTTATTTC